TGGTGTAGATGTACATTAGAGGAAGAGGGAAGATAGGCTACCTAACAGGTTAAGTCCGTGAACCAGCCACTACAGATCCATCCCACGCAATTTGAGATACAAAAAATTTCATAATAATGACATCGTGGTGAACTCTATTGAACAAGAGATAGACGCAAACTATATGTGTTATTCTACTGCCAAAGAATTCTGTGAGAATGTGGCCCAAATGTATTCAGATATGAGTAACCAATCTCAAGTTTATGAACTTTTCCTAAAACTTAGTGATATTCGTCAAGGTAATGATTCTGTCACAAAATTCTTTAATTCTTTCAAGAGAATATGGCAAGACATTGACCTTTTAATGATTAAGAGTGGAAGTGTCCTGATGATGCTAGTAAGTATAAGACCATTATTGATGCAAATAAAATTTTTAAATTTCTTGCTGAACTTAATGAGGAGATTGACAAGGTTAAGGGCAGAATTATTGAGAGAAATCCCATGCCTTCAAGCCATGAAACTTTCTCAGAAGTCTGCCATGAAGAAACTAGAAGAGGAGTGATGCTCAACAAGAAATCCACTCCTACCAGCATACCTGAGACCTCGACATTCCATTCTGAGGTTCATATCAACAAGCAGATTGTTCCATATTCATAGAAGGATGAAGAGAAACCACAGGTATGGTGTGATCATTGCAACAGACCACGACATACTAAAGAAATAAAGAAACCTGCTGGTACCTCAGCTGGTACCTCAACGATAAACCTGCAGATTGGAAGCCAAGAAGCAAGCGCAAGCCACCTACTGTAAATGTTGTTGCCGAACAAACCAACCCATTTAGCAAAGAGTAAATTGATCAACTCCTGAATCTGCTAAACTCCAGTTTGGCAACTGATACTCCAAATTGTTCGATGGTACATATTGATTCAGAAGCTTTTGATCATATGACAAATTTACACTATTTATTTCATTCATACATCCCATGTCCTGGTCATGAAAATGTTCGTATTGCTGACGATAGTTTCTCTTCCATTGCTGGAAAAGGAAACATAAACTTGTTCAAGAGTATAGGTCTTAAATCTGTACTCCATGTTCCAAAACTCAAATGTAACATTCTATCCGTCAGCAAACTTTCAACGGATTCTAACTGCTGTGTAATTTTCTGTGAATCTTCTTGTGTTTTTCAGTACCAGAAGTCGGGGATGATGATTGGGAGAGCTAAAAAGATAAAAAGATTTTACCACTTTGAGGAGACTATTGCTAGTGAAAAAATGGTTCAAGCTTACAGCAGTCTGAGTTCGAACCCTGCATTAGAAAAAATAATAAAATCACAACTTAGACTAGGTCATCCAAGTTTTTCTTATTTAAGACACTTATTTCCTAATTTATTTAAAAGAGTTAATTGTACTTTACTTCAATGTGAAACATGTTATTTGGCAAAAAGTCATCGCATAAATTTTGCTCCAAAATCATACTATCCTTCAAAACCTTTTTTCATGATCCATAGTGATGTTTGAGGATCTTCAAAAGTTAAAACATTATCTTAAAAAAAGGAATTTATCACATTTATTGACGATCACACCAGAATATGTTCGGTTTATTTCATAAGCAAAAATCAGAAGTTGAAAAACTTTTTAAAAATTTTTTACAATATGATTGAAACTTAATTTGAAACTAAAATATGCATCCTTAGATCTGACAATGGAACTAAATATTTTAATAAATGTTTAGGGGAATTCTTAATAAACAAAGACATAATTCATCAATCTACTTGTCGTGACACCTCACAACAAAATGAAATTGCTGAGAAAAATAATAGACATTTAATTGAGGTTGCTCGGACTATTATGTCTTCAATGAATGTTTCTAAATATTTATGAGAGAATGCTGTTTTGATAACATCATATTTAATAAACTGAATGCCAACTCGAGTTTTACAATATACAGCTCCTCTAAACAAACTGAAAAATAATTTTCTAATTCTACAAATGTCTTCAAATATTCCTTTAAAAAGCTTTGGATGCACATGTTTCGTTCATATTCCGAATAAATTCCGATCAAAATTAGATCCAAAATTTAAAAAATGCATTTTTCTTGGATATGCTTCAAACAAAAAGAGTTACAAATGCTTTAATCCTGTCACCAAAAAAACTTACATTAATATGGATGTGATATTTATAGAAAAAATTCTCTTCTTTCACAAAAACACACTTCAGGGGGAGTATAATACAGATGGAGAAGATGCTTTTTGGCAAGTTTCTAATCCATTACCAAGAATTGTTCTAACACCTAGTACACCTGAAGTCCGTGAAAATAAAAAACCAGAAATAATTGTTGAAAGTAAAAAAAAACCCAGAAGAATTCTAATCAAGAGACACCTTAAATTATCTTATTTAATACATGAAGAGAAATATCACATAATACAACAGCATAACCTTTGGTTTATTCCAAGAAAAGGCTTCATAAAAGAAAAAATGTTCAAATTGAATCTTTAGCTTTCTCCAAATCTGAAGAACCGAATGATGGTCCTCAAGAAACACAGGTAATTTTCAATTCTGATCTTACTTTTTCACCAACAGAAGCTCAAGATTTAGAGGTTATGAATCTGGATCTTCCTATATCCTTAAGAAAATGAACATGTTCTTGTACTACCAAATATCCCATTTCGAAATACTTATCCTCAAAAAACTCTCACACAAACATCAAGCTTTTTTGTAAAAAATTTCAAATTTGTCTGAACCCAGAACAATACAGGAAGCTCTTAGTTATCCAAATTGAAGAATAGCAGTAAATGAAGAGATTGATGCTCTTTTAAAAAATATAACTTGGGAAATTGGTTCTTTACGAAGAGACAAGTCTACTTTTGGGTGTAAATGGGTCTTCACTACGAAAGTCAAAGCTGATGGGAACATTGAAAGATATAAAGCCAAATTAGTAGCAAAAAGATTCACTCAAACTCACGAAATTGACTATCAAGAGACATTCGCTCTGATAGCCAAGGTCAATTATATTCGTGTTCTACTGTCCATAGCAGCAAACCGTAACTGGCCCTTGCATCAGCTCGACGTTAAAAACGCATTTCTAAACGATGAATTAGAGGAGGTATTCATGGATCTTCCACCAGAATTTGAGAAGAAATTTGGAGAAGGCAAAGTGTGCAGATTGAAGAAATTCTTGTATGGGCTCAAGCAATCTCCTCGTGTCTGGTTTGAGAGGTCTGGAAAGGTGATTACAAAGTATGGATACACTCAGAGTCAAGCTGATCATACTATGTTCTACAAATATTCAAAAACTGGTAAACTCACAATACTCATCGTCTATGTCGATGATATTATCCTTATAGGAGATGATGCTAGGGAATTTAAGACATTAAAAAATTGGTCACAAAATTCGAGATTAAAAATCTGAAAGATGTAAAGTACTTTCTCGGTATTGAGTTTGTCAGATCGAAAGAGGGTATTTTTATTAATTAGCGAAAGTATGTACTCGACTTACTCAATGAAACCAGAAAGCTTGGGTGCAAAACAGCTGAAACCCCGATTAAACCAATAAAAAGTTACAAGTGACAAATAAAATAGATGGTGTTAATAAAGAATAATATCAGAGACTGGTGGGAAGACTAATCTACTTGTCACACATTCGTCCTGATATAGTCTTTGTTGTTGGCATGGTAAGTCAGTTTATGCATTCTCTAAATACTCATCACTTGAAGGTTGTTTATTGGATCCTAAGGTATCTGAAAGGAACGCCCTGAAGAGGACTACTGTTCAAGAAAAATAATCACTTATAAGTAGAAGCATTTACAGATGCAGATTGAGCTGGGAGTGTTACAGATAGAAGGTCAACCTCAGGGTACTGCACTTTGCAAGGAGGAAACTTAGTAATATGGAGGAGTAAGAAGCAAAGTGTCGTGGCGAGAAGCAGCGCTGAAGCTGAATTCAGATCTGTAGCTCATGGGATATGTGAAGTTACTATGGATTAGAAGAATTCTCAAATAGTCAAAAATTCATAGTCCATCACCAATAAATGTGTACTGTGATATAAGTCTGTCATCGTCATCGTCCACAATCATGTCTTTTATGATAAAACAAAGCACGTAAAGATAGACAAGCACTTCACTAAGAAAAAATTGACCGAAGAGATATCTACATGATGTATGTTCCTTCTAACAAACAAACAACGGATATTCTAATAAAATGTCTTCACAAAAAACAGTTTGACAGTTTAGTGTGCAAGCACTAATAATGTTGCAAGTAAAAACTACCAATATGTTTCCACCGTGTAACTTTCTCCAACCCAATAAAACCATTAATTCAACTCTTTGTATTGTCACTTCTGCTCTTGCCCGAGCATAAAATGTCATACTTCATTTAAAAAAAAAAGTATGTTTCATGACAATCAGATCAAACATGCCGCATTTGGTATCCTTTGGACCAACAATCTTGAAAACAATTGGAACAGAATGCTTGATAACTCACCGGTGCAACCAACTCAAAAATCAAATATTGAAAAAGAAAGAATATTCGCAACACTGAATGATATTGTATATGAAATAGCCGATGTGCGTTATATACTTACACGCTTAGTTCCAAGCTGCGCTTGGACTAACTAAAATCAACTAAACCAATTTTTAACTTTGAAATGTTCTGGAGCTATTGATAGACTCCATTAAATAATAGAAAAAAACCCTGAGCTTCTAAAAGAAAGATTCACTTCAATTATTTTCAGCCACAAAAAATGTGATAATGAAAGCCACTAAACGTCTCTATCGAACAAATTGAAGAATCAAACACACACAATGGTCTCTGCACTGTCAAATGCTTCCTAAACCACGAGTTTGCATGACTAGAAAACTTAAAAACCTTAAACCTGAGCACCGTTCCTGCCCCGACCATTTCACAATTGCAAGTATTTCTAAGAAAACCACTCATTAAGAACACCAAAAAAAAAAAAAAAAATCAACCAGAATAATAAATTTAACGCCATTGTATCTTTGGCATTATAGCGAGCATGGAACCAACCTTGAACACAGCAGAAACCATTGAGAAGTAACCAGGTTTTAAGTAGAAACGAATCCGGACTTCCATTCATGGCATAAACCCTAAAATCCTCATAAAACCCTAACAAAAAGAACGAAAAAAGACTCCATAGAAGATCCACAGCAAGAACAGTGGGAACAAGAAGAAGAAAACGAAGCAGGGATCGAAAACGGGCGCAGAAACTAACAGTTAGCATCCTCCGATCTTCGAGCAACGTTTGAACGGAGAATCAGAACTGATGCGCAAGCTTTACTGTATTCCCTTCCACATTAATAGGGAATGGGAACTGTGGGGAGTCTGAAAGGCACCAGGGGTAAAGGTTGCCTCTTTCAAATTTTTATAGTTTATGTAATGCTAAAATATTTAAATTTTCCTATTTAATATCTTAATTTTTAATAAATTCATTGTTTATGAAAAATTTCTAAAGATTTATACAATTAAAGCAATATAAATATAAATATGTAATTATAAGAAAATTTACATTTATATACTCAATTCCTATGGAATTACAAATCCATCATTAAAACTTCTTTATATGTGATCATATTTATGTATGAAAATATGTATTTCACTCTTTAAAAGTTAAAAAAATTATATTTTTAATGTGATATGAAAATATTGGTGGTATTGATGTAAAAATAAAAGTATAGGTGTTAGATATGTAAATACATAAGAATTAAGTGGTGTGTATGTAAATGGCCTAAATTTTAAATATTAGATAAGTACTTACATGAGAGTTGTATCATATATGCAAATCTCCCTCATGAAGTGGTACATATTGGTTGGGCATATCATATAATTCTCATATATTTACATGTCTAATATTTAAATTTATAACACTTTAATATTATAACTCATTTCACTTATAAAATATAAATATTTGTGATATTTTTTAATGTCATCTTAATGATTAGGGTGCAATGTATTTAGATAAAATCTATAAACTGATAAGAATTATGCGTTGTGCATGTAAATTATTTAAAATATGTAAGTTTTAACAATATTAACAATTATAAATTCATGCATTTACTTTAAATTCAAATAATAAATATTTTAAATAAATAATATGATATTATGTTGCAATTTAATATATATAGTTTTAAAATAGTATTATATCATTAGTTTTAATATTTTATTAAAACACGTAAAAGAAAATTCATTTTAAAAAATCTTTTATAATTAGTTTGTTAAAATTCAGAATAACGTGGAATACAGATTTATTTCATTGATGTAAACGGAGGTATAAATAACCCTTATAAGTATATTATAATAGGAAAAATAATAAAAATAAATAACATGAAAAGAAAAGATATATCATCAAATATCTGCAATAATCAAATCATATTAACTATTTGGAAATAAAAGAAATAACATAAATTAAGAAAATAAATAATTTCTAATCCAAGGAAATAAATATAAAGTCGGAAGGAAAATATCTCTTTAATCTAAGAAAATAATTTATTCTTCATAATTTCTCACAACAATAAATTATTGTCTAGTATAACCCTTAACACATTTTAACAAACAAATTATATTTTTTCTATTTATATGATGTGTGGGAATATTCCTATCAAAAGTGGTGAGATGAGATTGAAAACTCTTAATTTGAAGTATAATAATAATAATAAGCTAATTATATTCATGTATTTAATTTAAAGTACATATAAGAATTTTAAAGACATCTTGATTAAATTTTAGTTTGAATAAATTATCTTAATTTTCCCTTATTTTTATTAGAATTCTAATAATTAGAGAAAATACATCAAATAAATTAGCATAAAAATATAAATTATTTCTATGATAATTAGAAATATAAGAATGGATACAATGGGTGGCAGGCTAGACTTAGGGCCTATTTGGGATAGCTTATAAGTACTGGCGGCGTTTCAAAACACCGTCTCACCGTTTGGAAAATACATTTCGACAGCTTATCCAAAAATGCGGTTGGGTTTTTACACTAAACGCATGTCGCGGGTCCAAACCTGCAGACCACCCGCTGACCACGTTTCAGGATAAGCTGTTTATCTGGATAAACACAAACTGCCCCAAACACACCCTTAGCGATCTTTTCATTATCACCTCGTAAATCTCTACATGGATTTTTAAAAGAGCTTAGAGTAGTATTTGGTTATGTATCGAGTCAGATTAATTTCTATAGCTCCACATTTTTTATTTCTCGCTCAAATCACACAAAATAAGTTATATATTTCCTAATAAATTATTTTAAAATAATTAAAAATTTAATAAAAAAATATTTAGCTCGCTTAGTGCGCCTAAGTATTTTTTTTCCAAGATGTAAATGATTATTTTTTTTAGATTTGACTTCTAAATATTTTTTATTTTATTTTGAGAGTTAATTAGAATCATTAAGACATAAGGCCTTAAATTCAGTTCATATGAAGTTATCGTCATCTCTAATCAATATTTAAGGCTCTTATTTTAATAACATTTTAGTATATAAGCGTTAAATTCAAATTTAACCTGTGAGGTAATTCCAAAGATCAGACCGGTAGAAACCCTTGGAGAGAGGTACAAAGAGATAGAGAGAGAATGAGAGATTGCATAGTAACTTGCCCCTCTGGAACAAGTTGGTGTATTTTCATGTTCTGTGGCCCATTTTACATATTAGAAGTGGCAATTACAAAATAGAAAAAAAAGAGAGTTCTCCTTACAATAGATGGGTCTAGAGAGAAAAGCCAAAAGCCCCTAATAAATGTTATCGTCCACATATTGAAAAGAACTAGAGGGACAAAGTATAAAATTACATATTTGCCCCTACTTTAGAAGGAACATTACCTATTATTATTGTCTTGCCTCTGGACTTTTTGCTCGGCAGTTCCTTGGGTAGACCAATTAAGTTCGCTTCGATCGGCTTTTGATTTGGGCACTCTTTGCTCTGAAAAGTAGGTCAATTTTTAGTATGGCGGTCAAATTACCTTAGGATGGCCCTTGGTGGTTTGAACTTCGGTCGGTCGGCTGGTGACCTGGTGGTCTTCAGTTAGTCGGATTCATGATGACTTATAGTATTTTTTTAGGGGATTCTAAAAATTCATCTTTTAATCTGGACCATTAGATTGTCTCTAGATTCACATAAATCATTTTTTGGTGTATACGCTAAGTTCATCAGTCTTCCTGCTCCTTGATAGTAACAGTTGTGATAAGGACAAAAAAATTTTTAATATAATAAATTGAATCTTGATAGTCATGATTTAATGCAATGATTAGACTCCCTGGATTTTCATGCACGTGAATTTTATATATAAGGCGATGTGGACAGTTCTCAGTAGCTTGACTATATTTCTCCTTGCATCCGCTTGGCTTCTGTGTCTCTTTGGAGAAAGGATCTAATTCAACTCCCAAACTTGTCGATCGATCAAAGATGCTAGCCACTTTTGGGGTAAAAAAACAACAATGGTCGGAAGATAAGCTAAGGAAGAAGTGGGAGAAGAATCTCGCTAAAAAGTCAAAGTTGTTTGAGTGAGTGGAGCAAGAGTTATCAGATTCGATCTGAGAGGCTCCAGATTAGGGTTAACCCAATGTTGGGAAGGAGCGGGTGATTCAACAACTGATCTGTCGAGTAAGGCTCCTATTAAGGTTCTGGGGTTAGCAAGAGATTGTCAGTGTTCCTTAACCGACAACAATACTAAGAATTGGTGGAGGTGTCGATTGGATGAAAAAGAGTTGTTGATGATCTTCAATCGATAAATGTAGACGGAGCTACTTGGTCTGCAGTGGAGGGGGTCTTGAGTACGTGTTTTTATTTGTCTCAATATTTACTTAGTTTTTTTCTTCTTTTTTTGTTGGTTCTTGTTCCTTGTTAATGAGGACGCTCCGATTGGGGGTTATCCCTTTGTTGATGATGGCTGGGATGACATTGTGTTGCGGCTTCTGTGCTTCAAGTGTTAGCTAAATGTGAGAAGAATGTAGTCAACTACACGACCGACCCAATAGATATTCGTGAGGAAGTGGTTGAGGGATGCAAGACATCCTTGAGAACAATGAAATGGCACCTAGATGAAGTGGTTGCTCTGGTTCGGCGAGAGGAGGATCTCCAAGACGTGGCAATAACATGTTTCTTGTTTTTAATTATGTCATAAATTATTATTTTATGTAAGTTCACTTAAAATGCAGCAATGTCATATTTTTTTTAGGGGCAAATTTTTTCAGATAAGATTTGTCGATAGTTGACACGCATATAAAGATAAATATTTACTATAAATGAGTTGATACCATTTATTATGGAGCAAAATAGCTCCTTAGATGATAATGAGTATATTTTGAGGTCGTTTTTATAAGTTCTACACCTTCTGTTAGTATTTTATAAATGTGCTAGTCACTCATCCAACAAACTCATACAATTATTTCAGCATTTCAATAGAGTCTCTTAGACCGACGAGAGAATTATTGCTTAATTAAGGACTATTAGCTAATATTAAAAATATGAACATTGTCGAGCAATTATGAATTTTTTTTAGATGAGTGCCACATGCTCATTATTATAGGCTACTTTGTGATTTTTTTTCAGCATTTTAAGAAATAAATACTATATACTTTAATCGTGTGTTACGAGCAATTTTACTACTCTCATAAGTGTTCATTAAGTTGCTCTAGATAGAAGCAAATTGTGACTTTTTCATACGAACAATTACACAATTTTATTCATATTTTCAAAATGTTATCATGGCAATTAGTTGAACTCATATTCTGGTAGTGGTCAACAAACATGCAAAATAAGTACCATAATGAAAATGAATTTACGTCACAAAATATGATGGTTGTAGTTACTTTTGATTGATAATTTATATATATCACCACTGGTTGGGAAGGATTTACCGTCGATAGGAGGGTATGGATCAGTGTATGAGGTGGACTATAAGATGCCTAAAAATAAATATTATTTGGTTGATTTGGAATCTGCAAACACTGATAAGATGTTAGTACCCTTCAAAGGATATTATTATCATTTAAGTTATTATCATACAACCACAAGCCGTAAATACTCAACAACACATGTTATTTAATCATGGATGCACAACTGCATAATATCATTGAAAGAACTTTCAAAATTTGGAAGAAAAGATTTCAAGTTCCAAGTCACATGTGTATGTTCCCAATTAAGGTGCAAGCATACATAGTAATGACTTGTGTAGTTTTGCAAAATTATTGGAAGTTACCATGTGAATGATTAATATGTCTCAAACTAAGATGGAGCATGATGGTCTACTAGGGGAGGTTGCCATCATCACTAAGACTCCAACATGCATACAACAATTAGAGAGAGACTTTGAGAAAATGTTGAACG